CATATTAAGACCGTTCAACAGTGAAAGGATAATGTCTTCAATGAATGGTGTAGAGACAATTCATTATCTTTATGTAAAACAGTGAAGTTGCATCCAAACACTATAAAAGGTTAAATGAATCAAAGACCCAGTTATGAGAACAGACTATGACACTCTCTCAAGTAAACATAAAGCAATTCTCTTAAAAAGACTTTATTTTATATATATGAGTGTTTTGTCTGCATATATGTACATGTATCACATGTATGTATGGTACCCATGGAGTCCAGAAGAGGACATCAGATCCCTGGAACTGGAGTTATGGATGGCTGTGAGCCACCATGTGGGTGCTGGGAACCAAAAACAGGTCTTCTGCAAGAATAACAAATGCTCGTAAGTGCTGAGCCAGGTCTTCAACCCCAAAGGCTAATCTTTAAAAATTTTCAACTATTATTTGTATGTGTATGTGAGGGTAAACACCTTGTGTCATGACAAAAGTGTAGAGATCAGAGGACAATTAGGATTCTGTTCTATCTTTCTACCGTGGGTTCTATGGCTTGAACTCAGTTTGTCAGGATTTGGTGACAAGTACTGTTGTTACCTTCTGAGTTATTTTAACAGTCATTGGACCGAAACAGTAAACAAAAAAATTTGGCAAATTGGAGTACATCAAAGTTTAATACTTTTGTGCACCAAGGGATACTATCAAGTAAATGGAAATAACTTACAGAACAAGAGAAAAATTAAAATCTCTTAAGGGCCAAACTATCTGTAGTCTTAAAACTGAAGAATAAAACAACACAATCAAAATATGAGTAAAGGACTTGAATACATTTTTTTCCAAAGAAGATGCATAAATGTTTCTACACATGGAAAAATATTCAGCCCCATTAGTCATTAAGGAAATGCAAAACAAAACCACAGTGACATACCACTTCATATCCATAGGATGACTGCAACCTTGAGAGCAAAGCAGAACAAAAGTATGGAAAGTTCTACGTATCGGTGAGGATGTGAAGAGTCCCCACCACATTCGCTGGTAGGAATGTAAAATAGTGTAGCTTCTGTTGAAAACAGTTTGGTAGCTCCCTAAAAAATTGAATGCAGAATTATCATGTGACCCAGCAATTTCACCCCTAGGTATTTTATGTCCCAGTAATTGGAAACATGTTTTCAAATATTTAATATATTTGATACATTTAATATAATATAATAATATAATATAACATATATTTATATATAAAATATAATAAATATATTCTATACTTATATTTAATTTAATATATTTAATAAATATTTAATGTTTATAGTAGTTTTATTAACAGCAATACTATTAACAGTGGTCAAAAGATGGAAACAATCTGGTATTCATCAGTACCTGAATCAATAAAAAATTGTGATTCATACAAGTTGGATTTTTTTTTGACATAAAAAGAAATGTAGTGACACATAATACAATTTAGATGAAACTCAGAGTTAAGTGAAAGAAGGCAGACATGGAAGGTCACGTTGCATGATAGCATTTATGAGAATTATTCTGAAGAAGTTGGGCATGGTGGCTCACACCTTATAATCTCAGCACTTAGGAGAATGAGGCAGAAGGATCTACATGAGTTTAAGACTAGTCTGGTAAGTTCCAGAACAACATACAAAAAGAAATAACCCAAAGAAATAAATTATTAAAGTAACAAAGCACATTAGTGATGTCTAGGGGTTAAAGAGGGGTACTAAAACTGCTTGAGTGCCAGTCTTCATTTTGAATTCTTGAAAATATAGGGGTTGGGGATTTAGCTCAGTGATAGAGCGCTTGCCTAGCAAGTGCCAAGGCCCTGGGTTCGGTCCTCAGCTCCGGAAAAAAAAAATTGTGATTAGGTAGAGGTAATTGTTGCTCAATACTGTGAATGGTCTAAATGCCACTCAGTTGTGCATTTAAAAACGATTAATACTACATTATGCAAATTTTGCTTCAATTAAAAATTATGTCATACACTTTCTATGATCTCACAAATAACTGTGGCTTTGCTGTCACAGTTACCTTGTGACTATTGGAATCCATGTAATTTTTTTAGTAGTGCTCCATTGGGACATTCTCTCTAGCTGTGGGTGGTTAATCTTGAAGACAGATGGTCCAAAGTGGGTTTCTTCCTGTAATAACAATTAAGGAATGTAGTTTTGATATATCATTTTTATTAACTTTGGAAAGCTTCTACCTTGGACTGAGTGATTTAAAATGTAGTCTGGTCTGACACTGATCATCTCCTTTACTTAACTTGGAAAGGCATGTTTAAAACAACTTTGTATTGTTTGGAAATGCAGCAAATTTTGATTTTATGAAAATGTATAGAAATTTTTAAAGACTTAGTAAGGAATGCAGTTGCAGTGAAGTTTTTGTGCTCTTTTTCTGCTATGCCAGTAGAAATGTTAGTTTTACTCTACAGCCACTGTGAATGCTTGTTGTTACCAGTTGAACTGGTGCTGGGAATATGAAAGCCTATTTTCAGTTCAGCGAAGCAGAGTTTATGCAGAACTTGCATACATTGATTTCTTTATCTTCCACCTGCTTTGTGGTTTTGAAGAATGGAGTTTAACTTGCATTCTGTCAGTAGAGTTGAGGATGAGAAGAGCTTCTCACACAGTAGACATGTGTCAGTCATGAAGCTTTTCTTCATGAAGGAGGCCAATGGCTTCTGGCCCATAGTCACTGCTGTGTTTTTTGTCCTTGACTTTTCAGATGTGTTTACATTAGTGTCTTATGTACTCCTACCTGATGGTCATTATGACCCAAACACACCATCCAGGCTAAGATTCTAAGAGCTATGAAGCAAATAGTATTCAATTGGTCTGTAATGAATCAAGACAGCTGAACTAGAGAGTAAAGAAATTTCTTGCTTATTTTGTGACTTTAAAGTTAGAGGTGATTTGGTAAACATAACAAAATAGCTAAAATAAATAGAATAAATCATAGAGGTGAGTGAGTGTAATAGCTTAAGATTAATTATTGCTTGAGATTTTCACATCATTGGATTTTCTTTTTTTTAATTACTTATTTTTATTTTATATGTCTGAGTGTCTTGTGTGCCTGCATGTATGTCTGTGCACCACATGTGTGCCTGGTACCCACAGGAAAAGATGCTAGATCCCTTGGAACTGGAACTACAGATGGCTGTGAGCTGCCCTGTGGGTTCTGGGAACTGAACCCAGGATATCTGCAAGAGTAACCAGTGCTCTTAGTCACTGATCCATCTCTCCAGCCCCCGGATTTTCTTTTTCTGATGTTCGTAGGATAATTTTTTAAAATAAGAAAAAGTTGGAGAATTATCATTAGGTTTTTAATAAGTTGTAAATTGGGAAAAATCTGGTGACAATTACTTTAACAAAACATACCAGCAGAGCAAGGAAAAAAAAGTAAATAGGGATGAAACCTAAACCTAATGGAAAATTCAAATTATATTTTCTCAGAAAGGTCTGCCTGTGAAAAGCAGCATAGCACACACTAAATGGCTTAAATAATTTACTGAACTTCTGCTGAGTTTCGTCAACTGGATTATTAGAACAATAGAATTTACATGCTAAGATCATGGTAAAGATTGTATGTGCTAACAAAGCTGAAGCTCCTTGAGCAGGGCTTGATGCAATGGGAAAGGCATATGTCCATGTTAAGGGTGAAAGAATGCTGATAATAACTTGTAACTTGTAGCTACTTTGGTTAGTGATTTGTTTGTGAGGGTCACACCTGCTCATATTCACAGATGTTCAACAGTCCTGACCATCTGTAGTGTAGCTAAGTATGAATGTTAGAAATTTCAAGCCCTTCTACTAGTGTTCTCACTTTGGGTCTGTTTTACTGCTAATTGACATTTTAACCAAGGAGAATGTGTAGCTAAAGTTTTCCTGCCTGGCCCACAGTCAGGACAAATCTCTCTCACCTGCCAGTCCCACAGCCACTCAGACCCAACCAAGTAAACACAGAGACTTATATTGCTTACAAACTGTATGGCCATGGCAGGCTTCTTGCTAACTGTTCTTACAGCTTAAATTAATCCATTTCCATTAATCTATACCTTGCCACGTGGCTTGTGACTTACCGGTACTTTACATCTTCCTTGACCTGATGGCGGCTGGCAGTGTCTCCCTGACTCAGCCTTCCACTTCCCAGCTTTATTCTCCTCCTTGTCCTGCCTATACTTCCTGCCTAGCCAATGGCCAATCAGTGTTTTATTTATTGACTAATCAGCAACACATTTGCCATACAGAACATCCCACAGCAAGAATGCTTTGGAAAAATGAATATAGAACTCAAGAGCACTGTTTTTTAAGACTTTTCTAAGTAATTTTAAGACCTCATAAAGCATCTTTGGTGGTTTTTGTTGAAAAGAGTTTGTTTTTATTCATTCACTAACAATTACCATGTGCCTAGCATTGCTCCTGGGCAAAATGGAATGATGTAGATACAAAGATCAGAGGGGAGGAGAAAGAGAAAATAGTTGCTTGGCATAGAAGTGAAGAATATGAATGCACACGTGTGTGTGTGTGTGTGTGTGTGTGTGTGTGTGTGTGTGTGTGTGTGTGTGTGTGTGAGACTCGAGTCCATTCCAGGAAAACCCTAGGGCTTTGAAGGAAGAACATAAAACATTAGCACATCCTTGGGGTGTACATCCTGGAAGTTGTAAGGCCACATGCTCATCAGCTGATGATTGCTGCCAAGCCATCTGAAGCTTAGCTAAATGGAGATGCAGAGATTTATATGAATCATCTTGTTTTGATGGCTGAACTCACTAACCTGTGTTCATATGCTCCTGTCTCTGCTTTAAGAGGTCAGAGCTCACATCATTGCTTGAGCAGCACTTGTAGTAGCCGTAAATCACCATGTGCAATTTGATAACCTCACTTTTCTCTGTGTATGTGGTATATGTGCAGAGCTATGAAAATGAATTAGCAAAGATTAATGAGAATAGATAACTGGGCTTCCTAGAATGTGATTTCTTTTCTCATGAGGTAATGGCATGATGTTTCTTTTACAGGACTGAATTGCAACTGCCAAGGCAATAAGTGACTCTTTAAATATGCCACAGGACTGCAGCAAGTGAAGGGGGCCCTGGAGAGGATGATGAAGTGAGAATGTTTGGCCCAAGGACAAGAAGTATGTCTCTATTTTAACAAAATTCTTGCTGTATCCATTACAAGACTGTAACGCCTGAGGTATTATAGTCATATTTAGTTTTCATTACTGTCTAACATTTTTTTTAATTAAAAAGTCTTTTTTTCATGGTGGAGTGGTGGTGTTGGTGTTGAGATAAGTCTCATGTAGCTTTGGTCTCCATCTCCAAATGCAGCACACACAGCTATTGGTTGTTGGTGGTCTTTTTTATTTCATTTTTATTTTTTAATTTTTATTTATTTATTTTTGTTTTTTTTCGAGACGGGGTTTCTCTGTGTAGCTTTGCGCCTTTCCTGGAACTCGCTTTGTAGACCAGGCTGGCCTTGAACTCACAGAGACCTGCCTGCCTCCCAAGTGCTGGGATTAAAGGCATGCGCCAACACTGCCCGGCCCATTTTAATTTTTAAAATTTTTATTCTTCTGTCTTATATTACATCCCAACTGCAGTTTCTGCTCCCCCCAAGTCTCTCCCTCCCACCTCCCCTCTCCCCCATATCCACCCCCCACTCCCTTTTCCCTCAGAAAAGAGCAAGCCTCCCAGGGACATCAACCAAGCACAGCATAACAAGCTGCAATAAGATCAGACACATACCATCACATCAAGGCTGGATGAGACAACCCAGTAGGGGGATAAGGTCCCACAAGCGGGTAAAAGAGTCAGAGACAGCCCCTGATCCCACCGTTAGGGATCCCATAAGAACATCAAACTACTTAGCTATAACATATATGCAGAGGACCTAAGTCAGACCCCTACAAGGCACCCTGATCTCTGGGAGCCCCCATGAGTCCTGGTCAGTTGATTCTGTGGGCCCTGTTCTTGTGGTGTTCCTGACCCTTCTGGTTCCTCCAATCCTTCCTCCCCCTCCTCTGCAGGACTCCCAGACCTCCTCCTAATGTTTGGCTGTGGGATTCTGCATCTGCTTCGATCAGTTGCTGGATGAAGTCTCTTTGGACTCTTTGATGACGATTCTGCTAGGCTCTGGTCCCAGAACGCTCTGCAGGCAGGACAAAGTGTCGGTCAAAGGTTTTGTGCCTTGGTTGGTGTCCTAATATCTCCACTTGAAGCCTTGCCTGGTTACAGAAGATGGCCAGTTCAGGCTTCATGTCCCCCATTACTAGGAGTCTTTGCTAGGATTACTCTGGTAGATTCCATGGAGTTTCTATTACACTAGGTTTCTACCTCACCTCCAAGTGCCCCCCAGTTCCAGTTGTTTCTCCCAGTATTTTCTCCCACCCCAACCTGATCCCTCCTGCTAAACCCCACCTGCCCCTAGTCCACCCTGAACATCTATTCTATTTCCCCTTCCCAGAGATATCCTTGCATCACTGGTAAGCCCTCCTTGTTACTTAGCCTCTCTGGGTCTGTGGATTGTAGCATGATTATCTTTTACTTTACAGCTAATATATACTTATAAGTGAGAACATACCATGTTTGTCTTTCTGGGTCTGGATTACCTCACTCAGGATGATTTTTTTTCTTGTTTTATCCATTTGCCTGCAGATTTCATGATGCTATTATTTTTAACAGATGAGTAATATGCCATAGTGTAAATGTGCCACATTATCTTCATCCATTTTTTTCTTTGAAGACTGTAGCTGGAGTTTTTCTCTCTGGGTCCTGCCAAGCCCTGGCAGTCCGGTAGCCCACTTATAAAATAAACATACTATTTTCAGTTTCTGGCTATTATGAATAAAGCAGCTAGGAGCATAGTTGAGTAAGTGTCCTTGTGGTATAATGGAGCATCCTTTAGGTATATGTCCAGAAGTAGTATAGCTGGGTCTTGAGGTAGATCAATTCCAAATTTTCTGAGAAACCACCAGTTTGCATTCTCACCAGCGATGGAGGAGTGTTCTCCTTGCTCCACATCCTCACTAGTGTGAGCTTTTACTTGTGTTTTTTATCTTAGACATCTTTACAGATATTAAGATGGAATCTCAAAGCCATTTTGATTTGCATTTCTCTGATAGCTAAGGATGTTGGACATTTAAGTGTTTCGTGGCCAATTGAGATTCCTCTGTTGAGAATTCTCTGCTTAGATCTGTACCCCATTTTTAAATTGTATTATTTAGTTTGTTGATGTATAGTTTCTTGAGTTCTTTATATTTTTTGGATATTAGCCCTATGTCAGATGTGGAGTTGGTGAAAATTTTCCCATTCTGTAGGCTGCCATTTTGTCGTATTGACAGTATCCTTTGCCTTACAGAATCTTTTAGTTTCATGAGTTCCCATTTATTAATTGTGGATCTTAGTGCCTGTACTATTGGTGTCCTATTCTGGAAGTTGTCTCCTGTGTGTTCAAGGCTATTCCCCACTTTCTCTTTTATCAGGTTCAATGTTTCTGGTTTTATGTTGAGGTTTTTGATCCACTTGGACTTGAGTTTTGTGCAGGGTGATAGATATGGATCTGTTTGCATTCTTCTACATACCAACATCCAGTTTGACCCACACTATTTGTTTAAGATGCTTTTTTTCCCATTGTATATTTCTAGCTTCTTTATAAAAAATCAAGTGTCTGTAGGTGTGTCAACTTACATCTGGGACTTTGTTTCAATTCCATTGATCAACATGTCTGTTTTAATGCCAGTACTATGTGGTTTTTATTACTGCAGGTCTGTAGTACAGCATGAAATCAGGGATGGTGATACCTCCAGAAGTTCTTTTATTATATTGGTTATTTCAGCTATCCTGAGTTTTTTGTTTTTCCGTATGAAGTTGAGTATTGTTCTTTCAAGGACTGTAAAGAATTGTGTTGGAATTTCGATGGAGATTGTGTTGACTCTATAGATTGCTTTTGGTAGGATGGCCATTTTTACTATGTTAATCCTACCCATCCATGATCATGGGAGATATTTCAAACTTCTGATATCTTCTCCAATTTCTTTCTTCAAAAACTTGAAGTTCTTGTAATACAGGTCTTTCACTTGCTTGATTAGAATTACTCCAAGATATTTTATATTATTTGTGGCTATTGTGAAGGGTATTGTTTCCCTGGTTTCTTTCTCAGCCCTTATGTTATTTGTATATCAGAAGGCTACTGATTTGGGGGAGTTAATCTTGTATCCAGCCACTTTGCTGATGGTGTTATCAGCTATAGGAATTTCCTGGTAGAATTTTTGGGGTCGTTTATATTTACTATCATATCATCTGCAAATAGCAATACATTGACTTTTTCCTTTCCAGTTTGTATCCCCTTGATCTCCTTTAGTTGTCTAATTGCTCTAGCTAGAACTTCAAGTACTATATTGAATAGATATGGAGAGAGTGGACAGCCTTGTCTTGTTAATGATTTTAGTGGAATTGCTTTGAGTTTCTCTCTATTTAATTTGATGTTGGCTGTAGACCTGTTTTATATTGCTTTTATTATGTTTAGGTATGTTTCTTGTATCTCTAATCTCTCCAAGACTTTTAGCATGAAAAAGAAAGCATATGAAAGACTTTTTCATTATCTAATGAGGTGATCATGCTTTTGTTTTTTCTTTCAGCTTGTTTATATAGTGAATTACATTGACAGATTTTCATATATTGAACCATCCTTGCATCTCTGGGATGACGCCTGCTTGATCATGGTGGATGATCTTTTTGATGTGTTCTTAGATTCAGTTTGCAAATATTTGAGTATTTTTGCATCAGTGTCCATGAAGGAAATTGGTATGTAATTCTCTTTCTTTTTTTGAATCTTTATGTGGTCTGACAATCAGGGTGACTGTGACCTTATAAAATGAATTTGGCAATGTTCCTTCTGTTTTTACTTTGTAGAATAGTTTGAGGAGGATTGGTATTAGATCTTCTTTGAAAGTCTGGTAGAATTCTGTGCTAAAACTGTCTGGCCCTGAGTCCTTTTTTGGTTGGGAAAATTTTAATGACTGCTTCTATTTTCTTAGAGGTTATAAATCTATTTAAATTGTTTAATCTGATCTTGATTTAACTTTGGTATGTGGTATATATTGAGAAAATTGTCCATTTCTTTTAGGTTTTCCAATTTTGTAGAGTACAGGTTTTTGAAGTATGACCCCAATGATCCTCTGGATTTCCTCAGTGTCTGTTGTTATGTCCCCATTTTCATTTCTGATTTTGTTAATTTGAATATTCTCTCTCTGCCTTTTGGTTAGTTTGGGTAAGAGTTTGTCTATCTTGTTGGTTTTTCTCAAAGAAACAACTCTTTATTTCATTGATCCCTTGTATTTTCTTTCTATTTTATTGATTTCAGTTCTCAGTTTGATTATTTCCTGCCATCTACTCCTCTTGCGTGTGTTTGCTTTTTTATGTTCTAGAGCTTTCAGGTGTGCTGTGAAGTTGCTAGTATGAGATCTCACCAATTTCTTCATGAAGGCATTTAGTGCTGTGAACTTTGTCTTAGCACCAATTTCATTGTGTCCCATAAGTTTGGGTATGCTGTGTATTCATTTTCATTGAAGTCTAGGAAGTTTTTAATTTCTTTATCTCTGCCTTGACCTAGTAGTAGTTCACTAGGGAGTTTTTCAGTTTCCATGAGTTTGTAGACTTTCTGTTGTTGTTGCAATATGGCTTTAATCCATGCTGATCTGATAGAATACAGGAGGTTATTTCAATTTTCTTGTGTTTGTTGAGACTTGCTTTGGGATCGAGTATGTGGTCAGTTTTGGAGAATATTCCATGAAGTGCTGAGAAGAAAGTATGTTCTTTTGTGTTTTCATGGGTGTAGTTAACCTCCTTAGGTTGGAGTTTCCCTTCTAGTACCTTTTTGAGGGTTGGGCTTGTGGACAGATACTGTTTAAATCTGACTTTGTCATGAAATGTCTTGTTTTCTCCATCTATGGTGATTGAAAGTTTTACTGGGTTTAGTACTCTGGACTGGCATCCATGGACTCTTAGAGTCTGCAAGACGTCTGTCCAGGCCCTTCTGGCTTTTAGAGTCCCCGTTCTTCTTCTATTCCTATTATTCTTATGCTTGATCTTTTCAGAGTTTCCTGGATGTTTTGTGTTAGGAATTTTTTAGATTTAACATTTTCTTTGACTGATGAATCTTTTTTTGTTTGTTTGTTTGGTTTTTTTATTTGTTTG